CTGGTTCGGCGCTTCTATAGCTATCAGTCCATTGCTCTGTTGTATCACTGTTTGGACAAAAAATGCCAATCACGTCCATATTCTTAAGTTAATTTTCATTCTTATCCACGCTACTTGGGGCTGTCCCACCTCTCTTTCTGTGAATCTCTTTATCTCCGTGACCAGATCCCAAATTCAACTCCCCAGTAGAAAATCACATATTTTGTATCCGCCATTAACCAGCTGCCTTAGCCACCCCTTGCCCTTGCAATGAGGTCTTCATGTTGCTACTCATGGGATAGGTTAAGAAAAATAGTGAAAAGAACTGGAATCTATCTCCATCATGGTGTTGTTTCTTTTAATGTTAGCAGTTTGTAAATATATATATGACTTATCAGCTGCTCCTCCTTTACTCAAAGTATAAGCCCTATAAAATTTGGGAAATGTGTTTTGTTGACCAAAGTATGCTTGATGCTGTCCAGAGTAAACATGCTGAATGAATCTCTATGGAATATAGGAGTGAATGTAGAGGAAGAGGAACTTATTTAGGAAGGATTTTCACTTGCTCTAAAGAAGTGAAATGAGAGCAAACTTTGGTGGGTTTTGTCTAACTGTGGGCAAATTGGTATGGACTGAGAAATTCAATTAACTGTATCCATCAATTTTTGTCTTTGGGGAAGAGTCATGAGACTAAGACCCAGAATTCTTGGTCCCACCCCTTTTGTGGCATTAAAAAAAGCCCAAACTTGGCATATTATACTAACCAGATTTTTTTCTTTGTCTCAAAAAGGCTCAGCTGAACACTAGATTCTTCACCCAGTGCAACAATCAAAAACTCAGAAAACCTCAGCTGCCTCAGATGATGTCACAAAACCTTTAAGAATGCTCACTGCTGAGTTGGGCACAGGTCCAGCAAACACAATTCTTTCTGCCAGTTATTCAGGGTCTTTGACAGATTAGGTGGTCTTTTTTATTCTTCTTCATCTTCTTTTTTTTTTCCATCCTCTTAAAAGGCAGTTCAGTTTACCTCTAAGCAAGACATTAGCTCTGGCTACCCCAAATAACATTTTAATTGAAGTCTCAGTCCAAACAAATGCCCAGCCTCTTTATTAACCCCAACAGTGTAATTTTTCAACCTAAGGCTGATTCAGGGGGAAACTGTCTCACTTAAACTGCCATGCAATGGAACATGGCAGTTTTCCTCAATCAGTCTCTTTTCTGACCTTAATTTGAACCTTAATCTCTTTTAACCATGTTCTCTTTATTAGCTGCTCATAGCCGTGGCACAATACTAATTTTCCTGTTTTTAGACTATCAGTTTACAAAGGTATTTCACTCCTCCTTCTACCGCCAAATGTAACCATTAAGGTTTTATGAACATTTCTGAGAGAGAAAAGTTAATACTTATTCTTGCTTTTTGTTGTTGTTGTTGTTCTTGTTTTGGTTTAGTAATTTAAATAGCTGCTTTGCAAAATGTTCTGTAGAGTTTTAGATGGTTTATTCCTGAGGTATATAAGATTTATGTACCAAAACCCCTATATATTTAATTGTCATAAAAACCTAAAGAATCATTTAAGATGATTACAAAGGATTTTTTTTAATCAACAGACAGACCCACACCTATAAAATAAAGTAGAAAACTAAGGGCATTATCTGAATAATTCAGGCGAAAATAATGTATTTTCATTAGAAACCTCATCTTTTAGGAGAGGCCTGTATTATCCAAATAATTGCCTCAATTTCTCTTCTTAATTTTTATACTTAAATAAAAACTGAGTAAAGACAGGAAAAAATATTTTTTTTCTTAATTATACCTTCTCATTTTTCACATTGGTCAAATGATCCAAAGTGAAAAGAAAAAAAGCACCCTTTTCAATAACAATGAAAAAAAAGTGTTTCTTTATTTGGAATCTACCTTAATACAGCAAAACTATGTAAGTAGAAAAATAGTGCTTATGATCATGTGCTCAATTAAATTTATAATAGGTTTTTGTACTTTTTGGCATTAGCCTGAAAGCATATTGGTTATTATTCTTTATAATCTAATTGGGGGCTTTGTATCTAGTTACCCCTCCATTCTCTGCTTAATACAATAGTTTGTTGATTGCAAAAATTACATTTCTGTGACTTTAAGGTCCTAGAACTAGGATTGTCACTGAAAGTTGGAGATTCAGCTCGGTGTTTGGGGCAGGGACCATGTGCCCCCTCTGTGTGAGGAGGTAGGCAGCTGGGAACAATTGTCTGTTCCCTGCGGTGTTCAGTGGCATTAGCAGCATGTTGGCATGGTAAACTTTGCCTTCCTTTCACTGGCTCAAACAATTAGTGGGATTGAATCAGAGTTCTCCTGGATCATAGTTTATTATATGTTATTAAATTCCATTATTCAAGAAGTTGCTGCTATGATGATAAAAACTTCTCAGCATCTCCCACAAAACCTCCATCTCCTTTCCCATGTGTTTTCTTTTCAGTTTATCATTTGCTTCTCTGATAGACAAGGTGTCTTTTTATTTCCTGTTGGTACTTATTTAAAGAGCTAAGAGCTAATTTGAAAATACATCTTTCAAAGGACAACAAAAATGAGATGTGAAAAAAATGGATGAAGATTCTTAATTAGTCCATTATTTGACACGCACGATTTAACATGGTATGCTTAGCATTGTGCATTCCCCAAAAGAACAAGGCTCTTTTTTTATCCCAAACTTTAACTCCCTCTCATTCATTATATCCCTTCTTGTCACTTTCCATTAGCTGATCATGACATCCTTTGCTGGAAGGGCGAGCAAGCAGATTACTTCCAAACTGGTGTAAGTGACACTCAAAAGACTGGCCTAAAGGAGCTTCTGTGATAGCAGCAAGCTCCTCGGGCCCTGGAGTTGGAGAATGTCACTTCAATAATATAATATATTGGAGTCCATTGTCACATCATTTCTGCAGCAACTTGGCAACCATCCAGGAGTGGCAGGAATGGGTCTTCTGCTGCAACTCATGGGTGATAGTATCTAATGTTATTACTGTTGCTGATAACAACAACAACAACAACAACAACAACAACAACAATTTATATTGCCAGTCCAATCCTCCTAGCATCTTGCATTTTACGGATGAGGAAACTGAGGATCAAAGAGGTGAAATAAATTGTCCATGGTCACACAGCTGATAAGCAACAGAGCTAAGGGTTTCAGTGAGGTCCGGTGGATTCCAAACTCACATCTGTTCCTATTAGAGCAGCATGCTGACTTCTGGAAGACTTCGGCACATCTCCCTAAATCTGAAAGGGAAAGAAATGATCAAAAGACTAGTCGTTTTGATGCAAGTGTCACCAGGCAATTCTAAATGTGGCAGAAGATGATGGAATGAGACAGTCACGATCACATACACATAGATAGATTGTGCTGACTAAGAAAAGAAGTGGAGAATCTGATGCTCTGATCAGATCAGTCCTGGAGAAATGAACCGTTCCTCATTCTGGCCCCCCACAATCCCTCCCCTACTCCCAATTGTCTGACCTGGGGAACAGATCCTCGGCCTTGGAATGGCATTGACTAGGAAAGAGACAGCAGCAGACTCTGTTCTGAACAGCACCAGCACTAATCCTAGGTACTATTCAGATCCTGACACCAACCTCTCGCCTTATATGGTTTTCTGCTCCTAAGAAAACCAAGTTTTCTTCACTCATGAAGTTTCTGTTTCTTTTTTCCATTAAGCAAGTTTAGTTTCCCAGTAACCTTTGAAAAGTTCTGATTATAAAATAGGGAATATGGAAATACAGAGTAATACATTGGATAAAATAAAAGTCACCTGTTATTCTATCACCAGGAGAAAGCAGCCTATGGTGTATATCTTTCTAGTCTTGGGTTCTACATACATATGCTGGGCAGTAAAATGTGGTGGTTATAGGGATAAACTCTGAAATCAGACTATCTGTATTTAAATCTAAACACCTCCTCTAGCAGTATGACCTAACCTCTCTGGCCTCCAGTTTTCTCATATGCACTGTACTTTCCTCCTATAATTGTTGTGACACTCAATGATCTAATGGATGTAAAGTAGCTAGGCCATGGGAATCCCTTATTGCACGTTAGCTACTGTTCCTTGTGTTTTGGTCCAGTGTTCTTGTCTGGATCGCTATTTCTGACTGTGCCCCAGCCTCCTTGATTCGAAGACCATGGATAACTTCATCCTCAGTGGTGATTCTGTTCCTTCTCAGTGCATTTGGTTTGATCAGCCCTCCCCTGACACTGCATCAGTGACTTTTCAGGTCTCAGTTCCTACCCATTTAAATGTAACTCTTAATGAAGCATTGACAGCATCTTACCTTATTTTTGTTCCTGTCTGCTGGACATATTTCTGCCTGGATGCCCTGCTTACTCAGCCTGGCACTAAGGCAAAACCTAAGCAGCCCTTCTTGTTCTCATCTGTCTTGAGCTCCTTGAGGTTAGTGCAGATGGAGGCAAGATCAGGCGTTTGTGATCGCAGAGACACCAGCAGTATCAACCCCCGATCTTGGGCCTCTGGAATGTCAGTGACAAACTAGGTTCCAAGTTTATATAGGCAACACAAAGGCAAGTTTATTTGTTTAAACCATTTTAAACGTGAAAAAGAAGGTAATTATGAAGGATATTTCTTTATTATTTTCTTTAAAAATCCTCTGTTGGTAAGCTTATCTCTCAGAGACCTTTTCACCACTTAGTAAAAAATATCTGTCTATCTATCTATCTATCTGTCATCTGTCTATCTATCTACATATGTATCTAATTTTTTAAAATGGGGAACTATGTGTGATAGGTGATTGGATGTCAGCAACAGTAATCGGGGTTGGGGGGCAGGGTGAATTACATTTAATGAAGCTGGAAGTTCACATGGACCTTTCAGACTTAAAAAAAAAAATGTTGATTTTACATGCCAAAGTCTTGAAAGGGGCTTGACGGCTCACGGCTTTAGTGTGTTTTTCCAGATGGCAGATGCCATTTTGTGTTTTGCATAAACTGACTAAATTTGCTTGCTCTTTGTACTTATTTCAGAGAGAACCATTCTCTGCTTTCAATAGGACAGAAGAGCTCCTTGGCACTGCATGCCTCCGGGTCTGGTTGAGAGAGGAATGGTTAGGAGACTGTTCTGAGGATACGCAGACATCATCCAAAGCTTCCTACATTCAGATGAGGACAGAGGTTGGGCCAGAGCATGGCATGCTTGTTACCTAAGGACGGTTCTGACCATGTGAGCAAATCACAGAAGGTAAGCCATGCTGAAGAACTTACAATAGTTATATTTCCAGTTTGTCCATTTTTATCTCCATGGGGGACAAATAGGTTCATGATGCTCTTATTTCAATTACTTTATGGCTAGTTGTGTGATCCTGTAACTTAATTTCTCTGTGCCTCAATTTTACCTGAAAAAAAGAGAAAGATAATAGGACTTAGCTCTTAGGGTCATTGTTGATCTTTTCAAAAAACCAGCTCCTGGATTCATTGATTTTTTGGAGGGTTTTTTGTGTCTCTATCTCCTTCAGTTCTGCTCTGATCTTAGTTATTTCTTGCCTTCTGCTAGCTTTTGAATGTGTTTGCTCTTGCTTCTCTAGTTCTTTTAATTGTGATGTTAGGGTGTCAATGCTAGATCTTTCCAGCTTTCTCTTGTGGGCATTTAGTGCTATAAATTTCCCTCTACACACTGCTTTAAATGTATCCCAGAGATTCTAGTATGTTGTATCTTTGTTCTCATTGGTTTCAAAGAACATCTTTATTTCTGCCTTCGTTTCGTTATGTACCCAGTAGTCATTCAGGAGCAGGTTGTTCCGTTTCCATGTAGTTGAGCGGTTTTGATTGATTTTCTTAGTCCTGAGTTCTAGTTTGATTGCACTGTGATCTGAGAGACAGTTTGTTATAATTTCTGTTCTTTTACATTTGCTGAGGAGTGCTTTACTTCCAACTATGTGGTCAATTTTGGAATAACCTGGAATTTCATATCCAGCCAAACTAAGTTTCATAAGTGAAGGAGAAATAAAATCCTTTACAGACAAGCAAATGCTTAGAGATTTTGTCACCACCAGGCCTGCCCTACAAGAGACCCTGAAGGAAGCACTAAACATGGAAAGGAACAACCGGTACCAGCCATTGCAAAAACATGCCAAAATGTAAAGACCATCGATGCTAGGAAAAAACTGCATCAACTAACAAGCAAAATAACCAGTTAATATCACAATGACAGGATCAAGTTCACACATAACAATATTAACCTTAAATGTAAATGGACTAAATGGTCCAATTAAAAGACTCATACTGGAAAATTGGATAAAGAGTCAAGACCCATCAGTTTGCTGTATTCAGGAGACCCATCTCACATGCAGAGACACACATAGGCTCAAAATAAAGGGATGGAGGAAGGTCTACCAAGCAAATGGAGAACAAAAAAAAGCAGGGGTTGCAATCCTAGTCTCTGATAAAACAGACTTTCAACCATGGAAGATCAAAAGAGACAAAGAAGGCCATTACATAATGGTAAAGGGATCAATTCAACAGGAAGAGCTAACTATCTTAAATATATATTCACTTTATGAGCACCCAGATTCATAAAGCAAGTCCTTAGAGGCTTACAAAGAGACTTAGACTCCCATACAGTGATAATGGGAGACTTCAACTCCCCACTGTCAACATTAGACAGATCAACGAGACGGATAGTTAACAAGGATATCCAGGAATTGAACTCAGCTCTGCACCAAGCAGACCTAATAGACATCTACAGAACTCTCCATCCCAAATCAACAGAATATACATTCTTCTCAGCACCACATCGCTCTTAGGGTCATTGTGAGGATTCCATGAATTAGTCCAGTCGAAGGCTTTAGAATAGTGCCTGACATACAATAAGTGCTCAAGAAATGTTGGTGGTAATTATTATTGCTATGATTCATTTCCACAAGAATTTGCAATTTTTTCTTCTTTTCTGCTGTTTGACTTTGTCCAACTCCCATCATAATTATGCAAACTCTTTGAGTCATTTTTATGGAAATAGACTGGAAATGGAGTGGTTAAGTTATAGGCTTTCTAGTCAAATAGAGTCAAGTTGAAGTTCCCAAGGCAGTATTTAAGAGCCATATCTTCTTGACTTACTTTCTCCAAGCCTCAGTTTCTTAATCTACAAAATAAGAAGGATGAAAAATCATTCTACTATAAAAACATATGCACACGTATGTTTATTGCGGCACTATTCACAATGGCAAAGACTTGGAACCAACTCAAATGCCCATAATGATAACCTGGATAAAGAAAATGTGGCACATATACACCATGGAATACTATGCAGCCATAAAAGGATGAGTTCATGTCCTTTGCAGGGATATAGATGAAGCTGGAAACCATCATTCTCAGCAAACTAACACAAGAACAGTAAACCAAACACCGCATGTTCTCACTCATAAGTGGGAGGTGAACAATGAGAACACATGGACACAGAGAGGGGAACATCACACACCAGGGCCTGTCAGGTGGTGGGGAGTGGGGGGCGATAGCATTAGGAGAAACACCTAATGTAGATGAGAGGTTGATGGGTGCAGCAAACCACCTGGCACGTGTATACCTATGTAACAAACCTGCACATTCTGCACATGTATCTCAGAACTTAAAGTATAATAAAATAATTTTTACAAAGGATGATAATAATAGTTGCCTCTTAACACTTTAAGAGTATTAAATGGGACAATACTTGCACAATATCTGACAAGCATATAAAGATTATAAAAAATATTATGTATTGGTATTATTTTTGCTGCCCCAAATATACAAAACAGTGCTCGTATTCTCAAAAGTGCTTCTAGAAGCTTGTCAAGTTTCCAGGGCTCTAATGTCATGTCAATATTCCACCAGAAAAGAGGAAAAAATCCACAGAAATAGAAAGGTGCTGGATGCTGTGACTTTACTAGGACCCTTTGCCAAATAATGAAGTGAAATTGAGAGGACTGAGTCTTGCTCAACATAGATTTAATTCAAGTTAGAAAACTCAAATTTCTTTTTAAAAATTGAAATCGTATATTTTTAAGATGTGCAGTGTGAGGTTTTGATATACATATACATAGTGAGTTGATTTTAAAATCAAGATAATTAATATATGCATGTCTTCACATAGTTACCTTTTTTGTGGGTAGTGAGAACACTTAAGATCTACCCTCTTAGCAAATTTCAAGTATACAATACAGTATTATAAACTACAGTCCCCATGTTATACATTAGGTCTCTAGAACTTTTTCATCCTGCATAACTGAAACTTTGTATCTTTTGACCAACATCTCTCCATTTCCCTTACCCCTTTGTCCCCAAGAACTGCTACTCTACTCTGCCTCTATCAATTCAACTCTTTTAGATTCCCCATGTAAGTGAGATCATCTAATATTTTTCCTTCTGTGCTTGACTTATTTCATTTAACATAATGTTCTCCAAGTTCATCTTTGTTGTCACAAATGACAGGATTTCCTTCCTCTTAAAGGCTAAATAGTATTCCAATATATACATACATATATACGCATGTATGTATACATACATATGCATATATACAAATATGTATATATGTGCATATATATGTATGTGTATATATGTGTAAATATTACACAATTTATTTATCTGTCAATAGGCAATTAGGTTTTTTCTATATCCTGGTTATTGTGAATAATGCTGTCATGAACATGGGAGTGTAGGTATCTCTTTGAGATGCTGATTTTATTTTCTTGGATATATACCAGTAGGGGAATTGCTGGATTATATTGAAGGTTTATTTTTAATTCTTTGAAGAACCTCCATTTTGGAAAACTCAAATTTCTGAGCAGACTGATCCTGGACTCAACGTGGGGAATACTTTGAAAGGTTAGGAACTAAAGCCTTATTCTTCTGTCCTAAACCAAAAAGTAAAGTGTAGGATGAGGTAGCTTGTAGGGAAGAAATAGTTATTTGTGCTGGTTGCTTCTTATGGGGGATGTGGTATTTGCATATGGTAAAATACTCAAATCTCACATTTAAAAAATGTGTATTTCTTTCCCCAAACTAAAAATGGATAGGAGTTACATCTGTAAATGAAAAAAAACTGTCTAAATATTATAATTGTGTTGTTAAAGAGTTGAAAATGATTTCAATCACATTTGCCATTCTCATCCAGCAGTAACGAGTGGTCCCTATTAATAATTGAATAAAGAGAAAATAACTCAACACTGGAAACTTTTACCCCAAAGCCAGCATGAAACCTGAAAAACTGAAGAACTTGGATCATGGAAGCATAAAAAACATCAACAGTCTTGCAAATATCTTATTTGCCATGTAGATTTGTTTTGACATCTCCCTTCCAATGCCTATCACTCCTAACAGTCAGAATCAGATGGTATTTGAGTTGCAGGAAAAAGTACTAAAGTAACTTCCTCCCACAAGATGACAGCCCCATCTTTTTCTCTCGACCTCATGCTTAGAAATTACTCAGAGTAGAGAGTAGGACGCTATGGTTAATTATTATTAGCAGTAAAATAAAAGAGAAAAGCAAGCAAGATCAAATAAGAGATGAAAGGGAAAGTGCATGTCAAAAGAAAAAGAAAGAGAAGTTGGAAAGAACAGGAGGAAGCTGTATTATTAAAGTGGGGAAAATAAATTACATGGCAGCAAAAAAGAAACAAAAAGAAAACTTCAGAGTCCAATGCAGAAATGGCTAGCTGACCAATGAAGATTTATCCTCCTCTCTTTCCACAGTGTAGAGTTCCTTCTAGGAAGCAATTGCTCAGCCAGAGAGACAATCTCTCTCTCTCAGTCTCTCTCTCTCTCTCTCTCTCTCTCTCTCTCTCTCCTTTCCCTCTCTTCATCTTCTGGCTGGATAATGCCAGGATAACCCTGATGCCAGAAGATGTAGAACCATAACATGAAAGAAATCTGGATCCCTGAATCCCTTTTCAGAGGAATATCCAGATTAGACTTTTTGTGAGTAAGAAATAAACTTTTAGATGTTAAGCCATTGAGCTTTTGGGGATTGTTTGTTATGGCAGTGAGCATTACTTTCCCTGACTAATACAGAAGTTGATATCAAAAGGGAGCTCTAGAAGTAGATGCTTGTCCTTTTATCTTTGCTCAAAAACCAATTAATTATTTCCTGGTAGCCTCTTATTGTTTTATTGTGTTCCCAAAAGCAGTCAATAGCAACCAACACATGTTATTTTTCACCTACAAGCTCAAGAGTCATGTGGTCTTTCAGGTTACCAAACGCAAAAATGTTGC